TTTATAAATAAAATAATAAATAATTTATAAATAAATTATTATTTATTAATTTAAATAAATTTATGTGGAAAAATAATGAAGGTATGTTATATGGTTATTTTTATTTATATACCTTTTGTATTTATTATTGAAATGTTTTCTCCTAATTACAGATTACTTCACGTATTTTGTTCAAAGTGGTGGTGTTACTAAATTTATGTAGGTTGGAAATTATTACAAAATTTCCATCCTTACAAGTATTATAAAGTTGTTGGTCACAATTATAGTATTAATCAATATATTATTTAGGTAAACTTTAACTCTATAAATAAAGAATATTTTTACAACTGTACTATCAAACAGGTTTTAAGGAGCTGAAGTAAAGATGTAGGTTTAGTAATCCTCTTTTAAAAACGTCAATTTCATTGAACTTGATCCGTATATAAAAACATTTTCGAAAAAGAGTTGTTTCTTTATGATTACTCTGTGATAATTTTTTTATATTTTCCGTGTTTGTTATGCAGAACTATTATACAAATATGTATTAATATTTTAAAAAGATTATATTTTAAAGTTTTAGTTTGGATTTTGAAGGCGAATAGATTTTTATTGTTAGCACTTTTTTTTATTATTATTAATATTTGTATTATTATTATTATTTTTGTTATTCTTTTTATTATTTTTATTATTATTTTTATTATTTATATTATTATTTTTATTATTATGGGGTCTTTTTTACTTTAGTGTCTTGAAACAGCTAGTGCGCCCCCCAAAAACTGTAGTATTAATATATAATCATATATAAGCTGCGTCTTCTTGTGACACAGAAGATCAGATTTTGATATCTACCATAACCTTCATATAAGTTGCCAGTTTTATTATGTACAACAACAAATATGTGTATGAAACAAGACCGTAGAAACTGCCGTATCAGTCGGCCAAAACGAGTAGTTCAGATATGTTAAAATAATTCACAAAATTATATTGAATCATCATAGATTACAAGTATGTCATATGACAACTATCATCATTGCTTTTTCAAAACGAGTAGTTCAAATATGTTAAAATAATTCACAAAATTATATTGAATGATCATAGATTACAAGTATGTTATATGACAACTATCATCATTGCTTTTTCAATAAACTAGAAAAGAAGAAATTGTATGTCAGCAGTCGCCAGCATAAGTGTATTAAGTATGAAAATCACTTTTTCACAGTAATTGAGTTGAGTGGCTCATAATCATAACATTATCAGTTAGCGTATCGATTCATTACCAAGAAGACGCTACTATTATGAACTTGATGTAAAGAAACCTGAAGACTTCAATGTTTAGTTGTTTTAAGCAACAAGAGGCATACATATCTTGATATTTATATGAAGCAACATATTGATAGTGTGAAGAATCAGAGAAAAAATTTGTTAAGCTCCTAGAAGCGTTTTTGTATCTAAATGAATTATTTATTGAAAAGTTTTTTAATATTACAGTACACTGTAATACAAAATATTCAGGCGTAGCCGGGAACTATATCTTTTTTAAACATAACGTGGATTTTTTAGAACGATTTTCTTTTTTGTGAAATATTCAAACGAAATTGGGAACTGTATCCCAATATGCTTACTTTTTCCCATAAAGCGGTTATAAGTATGAAGGACGGGCTGTTATGCCTTTAGTATCTTTTTCTTCTAAAGGCAACAGAATATTATAGATTACGGTCGTCTGTGAATGACATTGTAACACATCTTAATATTTATTTATTTTATATTTATATTTAGCCTATTAATATTTTCTTAAATTCTTAAAGTAAAAATTAATTGTTAAAAAGTAACATTAAATATATTTTATATTTTACCACGTAGACAGGGGACTATTAAAATATCCTTATAAAAAAAATAAATTTATTTTCATATCATATATATGTCGAAATCCATGTAAATGTAACCAACAAAAAAAATGATTCACTGGAAAAGTAGAAAAGAAAGTTTTTCACGTCTGTCTGTCTGTCTGACAGTTGGTCCAAGTTTATATTTTGCTCCACTCTATGAGCTCATTCGAGCTTAGCGTTGTTGCTTGTTTTACTGATGCCCGTTATGGACTTTGTTCATCCTTGTCTGTGCATTATTTGTGAACGTTCTTAACTATCGTTTATATGCTGAGAGTAGAAGGGGATTTGGTCACAGCTGTTGCCTAAAAATAATGACCATGAAAAGCATCTTTAATGATGCTATCTAATGGTGTGCGTATTTGTATCTGCGTTTGGATTCCAACATTTGTGCGCCTTTTATCTTCATAATATTATTATGATTATTTTTGCAGATTTTTGTGTTAGATCATTGAAATCATCATTACAGCTTCCTTTCCTAGTGAAATTAGACTAACTTCTGCATATCTCATAGGCTATCTTGCTAGATGCCTTATACTCAAATTGTTCCTTCGGTATTTATTGTTGTTCTTGGTTGTTTTATGTTGTCAAAACAAAAATATTAATTGTGTTTTTATAACACATAATGTTCTAAATAATAATTACACAAATGTGCAAATGAAGTTGTAAATTATGTTTAATGTGCTTCGGAATTGGTAATTAAGGTAAATGTTTTTGTTACGGATATTTTTATGGATATTATTTCAAGGGCGGCTGTAATTTATTTACGGTATTATTCAGTAGCATTAATTAATATTAATTATTGAAAATTTTCGAAAACTTTTAATTGCTCTTAAATAAGTACAATTAAGTAATTATTAATTTAATTACTAAATTTAAAAGTTTTAATAATATTTATAAATTTAATGGTAAAAATTAGTAAGAATGAACTGCATGCAATTTTAAGATGACTTTGATGAGTTGTTTCGAAAAGTGATGATTTGTTGCTCATAATAATAGTTAATATAACAAATAATATATTTATTACTTTAAACGAATATATATTTTTAACTAAATTCAATAGAAAATTCTATATAGAAAAGGTTTTTATATTATATATAAAAGGTATTATTAAAAGTTGACCGGTAAAATTTACAGAATTTAAAACTAACCATAGATTTATTTTTGAAATAAAAATCTCATTCGATCATAATAATAGTTAATATAACAAATAATATATTTATTACTTTAAACGATTATATATTTTTAACTAAATTTAATAGAAAATTCTATATAGAAAAGGTTTTTATATTATATATAAAAAGTATTATTTAAAGTTGACCGGTAAAATTTACAGAATTTAAAACTAACCATAGATTTATTTTTGAAATAAAAATCTCATTCGATCGTGTAAGACAATTGACATATCTATTATATTAATAACATATTAACTATTAACTGTATATATCTCATTCGTTGCAAGCCATTTTAGTTCTATTATAATATTTAAACACAGGAACATCTAGGGTAACTGCGTAATAGACCAACGTGCCAAAGCAGTCATGCTGCTCTCTGCGTATACTGGTATTCTACTCATAACAGCTAAGTTGGCCATTAACCGTATATATTTATACATGGATATATAAAAATTTAATTAGGTTCAATTTTAAATTTCAGTTGTATTAAAATGGTAAAAATTAAATTCTTGCCAATTTGAGACTGTCAACTTTTCTCAAATATTTGGTTATACTAACTAGTGTTCAACTTATGTGTATATGAATAAAGGAACATCTGGGGTAACTGCAGGGAGACAAACTTGCCAAAGCAGTTAGCTGCTCTCTTCGTATATTGATATTCTAATGGTAACGGTTAAGCTGGCCGTTAAACATAAATACCTATAGATAGGTAGAAAGGCATGTGTAGCTACCTCAACTAAAACGACACCTACCAAAGATTAAAGTGAAGAACACTTTATTCTTTACATCTGTTTTTATGGCCCCCTAGTGTGGTGTATGATCCACGGTATATCACAAAGAGTGATTAATTAGGCGCTCTAAGTTGGTGCTCTAGCATAACTGACTTATATATTTAATCTATTTCAAAAGTCTATTCTTTAGTATAGTACTATTGAATTTTTAAAATTAGTTTTTAATAATTGATTCAGTAATTGATTATTACAAAAACAATTTAGATACAAAAAGAAATTAATGTTAGAAAAGCCACTTTAAAATCATAAAATGCATTGTTTCTATTTTAAAAAATCGTGCAAGTTTAAAAATCTGCAGTATTTTCAGATAGCATAATTTAAAACTCATTAAATATATGCCCAATTATTTAAAGGAATAAGTTAACTTATTAACATGAGCCCAGATGTGCACGGTAGAGATTTCAACATATTTGTGTACTTCGCTCCAGAATCCAAACCAACGTATCAAAATATATAATTTGTATTGCCTACATTCGTACAAGATGTTACGTGGAGGAGTAGTGGGCGCCACAAAAGTGTGTTAATGACCTCAGAGCAAAGGCATGGAGAAGATTGCAGATTTCTGAGTATGTATAGGAGTAGTTAGTGAAATTATTTGCCTTTTTTGCAGAGCACGGAACATCCGAATGGCCTGGCCTGGTTTGTTGAATGCAGCCGGCGGCATATGTTGCATGTTGTGTGCGAGGATGGTTTGTGTGCAAAAGCGCAACCAAAGTTGTTAGTCATGGTTTCTACACATCCTTTCTGAGTATTTTTGTGCTTGCTTTCGTATTATAAGAAGTTTTTTTTTTTGTTAATTCTATGTTAAGGGAAGGGCAGTGCTTTATATTGTCTTAATTGAGGGTTAACCAGCGTTGATGATGCTACCATTTTATAGGGTGGCATAATGTAGACAGTCTGTAACATTTGTGCACATTTGGACCATGGTCTTTTGCGAAAGGCACTTAATGACTTTACACATATCGTCTACTTTATAGCTTCAATGCAAAAAGGTCTAATTGACTCAATGACAAAATCTCAAAACATTTACGCTTAATTACTGTAAAGCGTGTTGTTTTAATTTAACGCTTATTTAAAATAATTCGTAATTGTAAAATTGCTGTAATTTTTAAGAAAATTTTAATTAATTTTGGCATTTTAATACATTGTTTTTATTAATTTTATGTTTTTAGGTTTGGTTTCAAAATCGCCGCACCAAATGGCGTAAGCGGCATGCAGCTGAAATGGCAACGGCGAAGCGGAAACAGGACGATATGGGTGGGGATAATGACGGTGATTGCAGTGAAGCCATGGATAGTGATAATGAAAGTCTTGATATGGGTGAGAATCCGGCGCAAGGAAAACGTTGTCGCATGCAGGATAATTACCGTCATTAAATAATAACGAATTTACCAAGTTTTCATACAACAAATTAAAAAATGTTTTTCTTTTTTATTGCTAAGCTTAACTGTTAATATTAAAACTTATGACAAAAGAAAATCGAATTCTTGAAAACTAAATAAAAATATATATTATGTAAAAGAAAAAATTTTGAATAGTTTATAACAAAACAACATATTGAAGTGAAAACATTTGATATAACATTACAAAACAAAAAAAAAATAATTTATTTATATTTTTTGTAATTTATTTTAAAATGTTAGCTCTTTTCAAAATGTATTCACGTTTCCGGTAAAAGGATTCTATCTCAAAATATAAGGATTCTTGAATATAATTTTATAAATCTGTATTCATTCCATAACTTTATAGTCTTCTGAAGACAAATTTTGCGTAGCTATAATTTTATATAAGTTTTAATTTAAAAAATTTAAATATGTAAATAGTTAATAGTAGTTAATATTTATAAAATAAATAATTGCAAAATAAAGAAAAAAGTGTATAAAGCAATATGACATTGTATTAAACCTATATTAACATATTGAGCTGAAATTTAAAGTAATCTTAGATTGAAGGATATGTCAAATGAGGGGATATTTATCTAAAATGCCAAGGATAACAAGTTAAAGAAACACAATGTTTTGTGTCCTTATTTCGGTTAAAAATTGTAATATTTTTTGTACTTAAATTGTATTATTCTATTATATTTTAAGCTTAAAATTCTGTATGTTTTAAATTAATTAAATTTTTTTCAACTTATCAAGTATTGATTTTGATATATGCATAATTGTGAATAAGACTTTATTTAGTTTTTATTAAATTTTAGAATTTCTAGAGGTAAAAATAAGTATAAAAAAGTATGTACTTAAAGTAAATTAAAATATTTAAATTTTAATATGTAATTTCAATTATTTCAATTGATAAACAATAAGGAAAATAAATAATGCAGAAAAGCAATAAAAATATGTAATCAATGACTTTTTTTATATAGTTTCATATATTGAGGATTTAAAATAATAAGAATAAAGGTTAAGGTGCGCTGACTCTGAGCTTGAAATTTGGCAGGACATTAGTTCGATACCTTTTGCTTACAGTTTTAAAAAAAAAATTTTACAAATAATTATATATAAGAATTATTACCAAGACTATGGATGATTTCAAGCATTTGGCAATACTTTAAACAACTGTATGGTCAGCTAAAAATTCAATTAATTAAAATAATATAAAAATGAATTTTTATTGTTGTAGTTCACTACTTTTCGAAAAAAGGTCTTTAATAAATTTAATTTTGTTATAAATTTTTCGAAATATTTTAACTTTTAAAGTAACTATACTTTAATATTGAATATTTTAACTCATCAAAAGATATCATATGAATACTGCGAGGCTCACTGCAGTTCCTTCTGGTCATTTGTGTATAGGATCCTCTATAATCCTCACTTCAGAAGTTCTGCATAGCTGCAGGAAAAAGAAACACTTTCTATGTTAATGCCTGGCTTTAGCGTCCAGAAAAATTAGGTTTATAGGTGATTATTTCTTTGACAGCATATCAGAGTTTTCACCAGTAATGACAAAAGATCTATTAATTTATATAGAGATGGATTTGATCTGTATTCTATTTCAAGATTTTTTGTTACAAATGTAGTAGCAGAAAGGCGAAAAATCGCTAATTAAAGTACATGGAAAGTTATGTCATCACCTATCACTGCAACCAACCAACCAAGAATTAAATATGTTATAAATTATTCGAAATATTCTTGATGTTCATTTAACTTTAATTTAATACTGAATTTTCTATATCTGCAATATTACAATTTTTACTCATCAATTCACACGGCTAGAGTTAATTATGTTACGGAAATCTATAGTTATTCGGAATTCAGACAACATTTTTGTTACCTATAAACGACAGTGAATTAAATTTCATAGAAATAAAATAATATTAAAACAATGTTACATCAGAACTCCATAAGAAGTACGAAAAATAAAAACGAAAATTGATTTCTGTAATAGTCAATTGATCGACATCAAAACAACGAATATATAGACAACAGTAACAATTTAATTCATGTCCAGATCCAGTTAGTTAAAGAATAGTGTTTTTTTCACTATATATTTTTTTTAATGTGGCAACATTAAAAAATATAACCTCTATTGAAAGTCTAATAGCGTATATAAAAATACATATATAATTGCTTGATACACATTAATGCAAAAACTTAAGCTCAATAGAGGTTTGCCAATTGTAGAAAATTATATCCAAAATCAGTGCCTAAAATAAACATAAACCGATTCGTTAAATTATACACCTAAAATTATTAAACAATTCTGGACATTATAAAAACCAATGTCAATGAATAGCTAATTCGTGGATAAGATGTTTTTCACAAGTGCTTGATTGCCAAGTGCCAATTGCCGTTGTGAAAGGTTTATAAAGGATCTTTACTAAGCTCCTTATAAGATTTAATTAATATAAAAATTGTTTTAAGAGTTTGTCTTTGCTTTCAAATTTAGCAGGAAAAAAACGATTAAAATATAATACAAATGCTGAAAAATGGAGTCTTCACTTTAGTAATGGTTTTATTCCAGTAAATCATTTATTTATTGATTAGAAAACCTTAAATCCGTTTTATAGAATAACCTAATAAATGTCATTAAAACAAATAGAAGTAAGTATGTATGATTCTTTGGAATTAGGAAAACCGATGGCCGATGAATAGAAATACGAACTTCAACTTATTGGTTAAATATATTTTATTTAAACTAGTTTAAAGAAAATAGTAATTTGGGTTGCAACTTTACAAAAATTAAAAGTTAAAAAAGGAAATGATGATTTCTAGTTTTTACATTAGGGCTCAAAAGTGGGAAAATTAATTTAATATTCTTTAAAAAAGTCATTATATAAAATAAACCCAAAAAATGATGAACTTTTTATATCAGTACACTTATATTCATAATTATTAGTTCTGGATACGACCAAGTTTTCCTAAACGATAAAAAAAATAGTATTAGTGGTATATGTTTTTAAAGATCACATGCAACTTCTATACGAAATCCAGAGAATTATACCCAGTAAGTAAAGAATATAGAACTGAAACACAAGTGCATAGAGCTAAGCACTACTTTAGTAAATACTAGGTATATTTATGTTATTTTATTAAACTAAACGGAATATCAGTTATTCTAGTCTTAAGAGAAGAAAATGCAATTTACAGAGAATTCTGCTCATCAGACGACAGTTAAATCTTCAATATGGCATATGGTTTTTGTGAAATCCTGAATAAATTTTGGGAAGTCAAGTTAGTAAAATGTGTAAACAAAGGTTTTAATATATCGAAATTCATTTTTTTAGCGTTTAATTATTAAGTGATATAATGTTTCTTTAGTGAATACTGAAATTTTCTTTTATTTGTTAAATGAAAAATTTAAAATGAACACATGAAAGTTTTCAACTGATCGGTTGTTTGACAGGGTACTTACAGTAGCTGATTAGCAGAAAATTAATTATTTCTTTTACATTTAATTTACTATAACTTCTTCCATGACCGTTAAGGAGAATATTCAGTTTTATTGTATGGGTTCCTATACACCAAAAGTCTAATAGAACTGTGGTAATGTAGTAATGTAGTATTAACCCGATCCCATTTAAAGAGTACCCAGAATATGCAATTATTATACCATAAATTCGACAACGAGATTAAGTAATTAATTTAAATTTATAACAAACTAAGTGAAGAAAGTGGACATAGATGTTTCATGAACCGGCAATTTTTAAAAAATATACATGGATGCGCTAAGGCGGGGTTGACAAATAATTCTTCATTCTCTTCATTCTTTGAGCAGCAGTAACTTAATAGTGGACGATTATACATCTTTTATTACCGCCTCGTTATTAATGCAATTGTTAATTGATAACCTCTGACCTATTCTTGGTGTGGTTTGCAATTAACTGACATACCTCGGCAACCTAAGACTTTAGGTTGGGTAAACATATCTACATTAACTAACAAATAATTATGTCTGAAGCATTAACTTCGCAGTGGAAATTGTGATGATACAACTTATATGAAAGTATTGATTGTAAAATAAGTATTTACCTTCGATGAACCAACCACTAACTTTAGTATACATATATGCCATTCAGGCACACTTATTTCACTATTAGAAAAGGCAGCTAATATCATTGGCTGCAAGAATTTGTGGTATTTATTACATATTTATTTTATTTTATGTTTTTTAAATATTTTGCAAAAATGCCTATAAGCAAACAGTTTTTTATCCTACATCTAGAATATTCCGTAAGAAAGTTGGTGGAGAATAACTTTTATTGTCGAACAACCAGAATACCGAAATAGTTTATAGGAAAAAGTATTTTATTCACATTGTTTACATTATATATATATATATATATATATATATATATATATATATATATATATATATATAATAGTTCAAAATAATGAGGTTTTTCGAAAAGTAGTGAACCAGAACAACAAAAATTCATTTTTATATTGTTTTTATTAGTTAAATTTTTGACTGATCAACCAGCTAAATCAGTCTGTATTTAATTATTCGTAAGTAATTTTTTGAGATTACAAGTACCAGGAATCGAATTCATGCCCTGCCAAATTTAAAGCTCAGAGTCAGCGCTCCTTAACCAACTAACTCAAAGCCGTAATTGACTTTCATGTTCGCACATTTTTCTGAAGTTTTGTTAATTTGCTGTGAAAGTTTTTTTCACAAAAACAGTTGCTGTGTTTATATTAGAACGAAATCATAAACCAGCTATAAAATAATTGGATTAATTAATTATATTTTTATTTTTAATTGTTAAGTTTCAATACTACTTTGTTTATAGAGGCATTATTTGTTGCATGATTTATATATTCATTACTTATAATAATTAAATTAATTATAATTACTTTTAATTAAAAAAGTTTTTAAAAAATTGTAGTTTTAATCCCATTAAATAAAGACGTCTTAATGAGTTTATAAATTTGTATAAATCTTGTGTGGAACATACATCATGCATTATATTATTTTTATTATTTTATTTTGCAGTATGAA